CCTATATCCTGACCCAGGGTGAGAAAGGCAATGATGATGATAGTTTTTTAGTTTAAGTAGAGGTTTTACGGCTCTCGCAACTGCATAAGGTCATATGAACGCCAGAAGATTAGAGGTGTTACAAGAGAGTAACAAACATTTTAAAAAAGAAGGGGAGATAAGAACAATAGATGTTTGATAGGAAAGAAAAAGCAAACCACACCAGAGGACCCGCCAACCACCAACTAGTATGGGGTTGTTTTTTTTCAATTAAGTAGAGGTTTTACGGCGCTCGCAACAGCATAAGGTCATAAGAGCGCCAAGGAGTGGATGTCGACAGAGAAGTCTTTACAGGGAATCAGGCTTACTCTGCTCACCTCTCTAGCTTTAAGTTTAGTATGGGGTTTAACTGCGCTCGCAACTGCATAAGGTCATATGAGCGCACGAAACACAAGTTAGTTTTATTCGCAGTTCACTGTACTGCTGGACACAGGTCAGTAGTTAGATCTTAAAATGTTAAAATATTTAAAATTCAGTGTAAATATATATTTTCAATCTAAAACAACTTTCCTAAATAACATAAAAACTTTAAATAATTCAATTTCACTCTATAATTTCCCATAAAGGCCTTCATAAAATCCAAAATTCTGTTGGGATCAACGACGAAAAAAATGTCTTGCAATTTTTTGCATTTAAAGTATTTCCTTCAGGTCTCTCCGAAGTCTAGACATTCGGTTAAAATGTGTCTAATTGTAAAATCTGTGTCGCATCCGACATAGAACGGCTTCTCTTCTCCCTGAAGGAGGTACTTGTGTGTCCCATGCGTAATCGAGTAAAAATAACTTTGTCTCTTCTGGAGAGGCCCGAAGGATTTCACGGTCCAAGTTTGGGTTTAATGTTGTGTAGTTTTTATTAGTTTGTTTTTTCCAATGGCTCTCCCACAGACTGGAAGTGTAAATTTCGACTTCATTTTTAAAGTCAGTCTGTGGGAGAGTGTTCGTCGTTGATCCCAACAGAAGGGATAAGGATTTCTTCGCCAGGTCATCTACCTGCTCGTTTCCTCGGATGCCCACATGGTTAGGTATCCACGCGAACACAATATTTTTCCCTGTTTCAGTTAAGGTGCGTATTTTCTGTTGTAGCCTAACTATTTTTGGGTGTAGGAGTGTGTAGTTTGTGAGTGAGGTGATGCAAGACAGAGAGTCCGAAAGGATAAGGAAAGATTTGTTAGGAGAGTTTTCTACGGAGTCTAGTGCCATGTCAATGGCAGTGGCCTCCGCAGAGAAAATGTAGGCTTCAGGATGGAGTCTCCTCTGGTGTGTACTGTTTGTTCTATTAGTTTTTTGTATTCTGCTTTAAATGTTTTGGTGTTGTGCTTGCTTTGTTGGGTGTGGTCAGCTGTAAGTCTACTTTTGCCTCAGAGAGGTGCCATGGAGGGAGGTCGGGAAAAAGAAATTGATGGAAGTCTTGTTTGGAAAAGTATGTTTTTGAGGTCCTCAAGGATTCTGAGGCCGAAAGGTTTGATGAGTTTTTCGTTGTTTTGGAATTTGTTTTTGGTTTCTGGGTTTGTTTTAAAAATGCAGTTGTGTGCTGGGTTCTCTGGTGTTGAATTCTGTTTAATTGCGTTTTGTAGTGAGAGTTGTGTGTGTGTGTGTGATGGTGTGTTTGCCTCGGCCTGGAGGCTCTCCACCGGAGAAGTGCGGAAAGCCCCACCCCCCCGAGCGAGGCGGAGTCCTTGGTTTTCATAGCTGCACACCCCTCTCTGTGGGTATCAGAGACAGCCTTGCTCAAAATCAGGGACATTGACTAATTATCAGGAACACCTTGTGTTTGTCAAGAAAAACTTACTGCCTTTTCGGTTTCTTTGCTTTACTTGGTCCAGAGTCTGACTTAGAACTCACCGACGAACGTTTTGACGCCATCTTTTCAAACGAATGAAGAAGCCGAGTACAGCGCATGCGTATCAGCTGACTTTGTCGAAACTGCACACCTGCCAACTCTCCCGAATTTTCATCATTTTCCCAAGCAACAGTTTAGAAGTATGCTTGACAAGTTGTTATTTTCCAGG